GCTTTCGGATAACGGACGTTTCGGATAACCAGCTTTCGGATAAACGACGCTCTACTGTATTTTCAATTCATAATTAATAATCACAATTTAAAATATTTTATGATGCATTAATTATTTTAGTTAAATGAGGATGTTTTCTTTTTATAAAGTACTATTATCTCAGCTTTTTTGTTGATCTCAATCAGAAGTATCAGCAACATTTTTGTATTTTTTATTTTTATCATTAAAAATTTTTATGGATGACAATAAAAATGTTAATAATTGAAAATTTGTTTGAGGATTGAATTTGTTCAGTTGAGTGCCAAGCAACTTTTTGTGTTCAAACACTGAATTGTTCAAGTACTGGGATACTGTTGTATTTCATTTATTATATTTACAAATGATTAGTTCATTCATATATAAGCAATACCTATGGTTTAATAACATTTATCTAAAAATGTTTAAATAAACTTTACTAAATACAAAGATTAATTTAAAGAAGGAAAACACAATGACCGTCGTAAGGGCTAAAGTCTGAAAGCAACAACTACTATACCTGGTTGATAGGAAAGTTATCACAATTTTTTTTACTTTCTTGTCCTATCAGATTTCATTAAAGTAAACCTGATGAAAAGCACAAAATTTGAAAATTTCAATATTCTAAAATCCATGGGCAAGTTTGAGATAATGTGTGTGTGTGTGTTTACTTGAATAAAAAAAATATTGAATAATGAAGTTTACACTTAAAAATTATGAAATTTTATGCACAGGATTTCTAAAACCATGTTAGATTAGAACCAGAAGTTGTGTTATATGGGGGAATATCCCCCAATTTTCAAACTGTGTTAGAGTGAAACAGTGTTATATGAGGGATACCTGTATTAAAATATTGATGTAATATGCATAAGATAAAATGCTAGATACAGTGGTAAATAAGTGATTGGTTTTTGAATGCCTGTTGCTTTTTGAGATGCTTTCTTGCCAATACAATAATATCTAAATATGAACTAGTGATGGGACAATACCAAAATTTGTCACAATTCAGATTTTGCTGAAAAATATTGATTCTGATTCTCTTGAATACTTCCTAAAGTTTATTTTAATTTAGGAAAATTAATGATTTACATTATGAGCATGTTACATTCCATTCTTAAGCTTGACATCAAGCTTAAGAATGGAAAATGATTGGAAAATCCAGAATCAGTTTTTCAAAAGAAACCTGAAAATTCTCCATTTATATGTGGATATGCATGCTTTTATTGTTTACTACAAAATAAATTTGATCTTATTTCAGATAAAGTTAATATTGCAATACTACCCTGAAAGAAATTATGGCTAATTCACTTACACTCAAAGAACTATCCCATCATGTCATCTAGGGTTGCCATTTTTGAAAAGTGCTTTGTTGGCCAATACGATGACTGGGGAGGGGAAGGTAAACGAGAAGATGCACTTCTTTTTTCATGCTTCTTGCATGCCCTATAAATGTTTTAATTCCATTGTATTTAACACTAAATGAGGTTTGGAATGAGCTGAATAAATATCATTATCATCACAAGTTAACCAAGTTCTGAATTCAATTACTTGAGCCGTGTTTTCCTAAATTACGATTGCATGAACTTTTTTCTAGGAAAGGAAGAATCAAATGAAATTTTTAAAACTGAAAATGGCGATAATCTTAGTGCAAACAACTATTTTTACTTAGAATCACGCATATTGCATTTGAAAATTTAATGTACTACAAAATTATCTGTAAATCATAAAAACATTTTAGATATAATGAGTCATTTTATCATTATAAGTAAACCTTACTGAATATTAAAAATAATTTTATGTAACATCTCCCATAAAATAGGAACAGTTAGTACTGGCCAAGTGCAATTTCTCATTGCTTTGACTACACAAAAGAAAAGTCCACCATGACAGACATCACCTCATGCTTGAGATGTTGAAAACTCTGCTTTGTCAATGTGAAATTTCTAATAAAGTAATACTTAATTGTTAATGTCATAATTAAAAATTTTTAATCTTCAACTGGAACAAAAATTTTCTTATTAAATGTGGAAGAATCGATTTTAAGAATCTGAAATCGTGATGAGATTTTCTCAGTTCCAATTACTGGAAAATTTCCTACTTTTCCAATTTCAATTAATTGTCCCATCATTAATATGAACATAATACTTCAATTTTATCGATTTAAAAAATTTTGATTTGATTCGTTTTTAATTACAGAAAACATTTTTGTTGTAAATGTAAGATTGAGATTTTGATAAAAATCAATACACCAATCTAAATTCATTGTGCCTCCTTATACTAATCATTTCAGGAATTACTAAAGTGACTACAGGAAACTAACTGGTAACAGGTAACTAATTGGATTTCAGCAGTTTTTCTGAAATGTGTGAATTTGTGGTAAATGATAAGGACCATTCATATATATTCCTTTGGTTTTTGATAATAGGGGAGAATTTTGATTGTGATAGTTACTGTAAAAAGTCATGATAAATGCAGTTTATTAGTATGCATTAAATTTATTTAATATTAACTTTTAATTTTTCAAAATTTTTAGAGGAGTCAGATTACATCAGCAGCTGTTGAACCCACAGATGATGAGTGTGATTTTCCTTCTGATACAGAAAAAGATGAAGATGATCTTTGTGTAAGTTTCATTATCAGTTTAGCCATAATTTAACAAAATATTGATGATAAATGTTTTCATGTTTAAAGATACAGAAATGTAGTGCTCTCATTGGAATCTTGTCCATGTCTCAGTACTAATTTCATAAAAATTCAATTCTTCCACTTCAATAGATCAAACTTAAATCTTTTGGTTACTTTATAAAAGCAATAATAGCTTTAAAAAAATTAAAAGCTGCCAAAGCTGCTTGCTCCACTTTTCCAGCACTCAAACTGGAGGTTAAAGGGTTCATTGGAATTTAAATAACAACAAAGCTTAAAAGGGGTAATTTTATTAAATTGAGATTTCTTTAATGTGTTTTAATGTTTTTTTTAAACATTAAGACACATTAGCACAAAGTTAAAATTGTTTGAACCACCATGTGTTGAGAGAGTTTAAAAACTTTATTATTATTATTATAAGGCAAAAGGCTTAATTTTGAGGGTAATAATGTGTTTTGAAAATTGTAAATGCTAATACTGAGAATTTTAACCCACATCTTTCCATCCTCTTGGCCTTTAACCACCAAAATTTAATAGCATCAATACCCCTTATATAGAAATAACCCTGCTAAGTTTCAAAAGTTTTTGTTCATCCAGTTCTGAGATATAATGCAAAATAGATGCATGCTTGCACATAGATTTGTGTGTGTGTCTGTATATACATATAAAATTGCATGTGTTTATTATGTAGCAGTTTTTTAATTAAACATTCTTAGACTCTTTGAGTGACAAGATGTTGAAATGCAAAAAATGATAGATTGGAATTTGGCCAATAACCATACATTTCCTATATTATATTCTATAACAGCTGGAAAAATGAGATTGAAAAACAGTTCTATTTTTTACAGCTTCATGTGCCAAATGAACTGTTTTAGTTCAAATTGTTCTGTAAACAGAATTATGATTATTGGTCTCATGTTTTGTGAAAATTGTTCTTGGAATAGAAATACTGATGAAATTGAAAATATGGTGATTTTTCTAGATTGGGAAAAAATTTAAGATAATGTACACAGTATGTATATCATCATAAAATATATTTATTGATTAAATTGTTGATTAAAAGCAAAAAAAAATTTAAATGCAGCTGAAAGTATTATTTAATAAATCTGAATAGAGTAAAACTTCTGGTTTTAACTACCTCTGCAATGAGACTGCTTCTGCAAAAGATGACTTTTTATGAACAGAATTAAAAATATGCACATTGATATTCTTTTAAAATTAAACATTTTTAAAGTAGTTAGCTAATCTAAGGAAATCCTCCAATCACAACTACTTTCAACTTATCAGTCTTGGGAGTTCTTTGTCGGTTGTTAAAATGTTAATGGTTAAACATGAACTCAAATAGATGATCAATTAACAATTGTCTTTATTTATTCTTAAAATTGTTTCTCCAGTCTTGATGATGATGTTACCTTAAGTAGTGGTGCAGATAAGTAGACAATCATTATTCATCAGATGTTCTTAAAAAATGTCGTTAAATTCCTCTATAAAAGACTGTACTCTTTGATACAAAATGGCCAGTTTAGTTATACTGTATATGTAAATTATGTGATTATACCTTTTTAATGTTAATTTATTTCGATAGGATGACATGAAAAAGAAGACTGCTTTGGAAGATAAAGCTGATGAAATTAATGAAGGAAAAGATGAAAATGGTATTTAAATATTTAATGCTGTGTAAATAGTTTAATTATTAGTTTTATTATTTGAATTCTGGATAAGCTAATTGATAAGATTTAATTCAAATTAGAATAGATTAGTTTTCATCAAATTTTTTAGAAGTAAACTTTTTCTGTATTCTAGGAAATACTTGGAATAATTAAATTGATATGTAATTATTAAAAAACCTAAAATGATGTCATAATAATTGCATAGTTAGTTTTTTAACAATTACCTATCAATTTAACTAATCCAAGCACTTATAAACAGATACAAACTTCATTTACAGGATGTTTTCAAAAAGGATGCAACCCTAAAAGAAAAGAAAGCAAACTTATGTGCATTTTATGCCATAATGTTAGTTGTGTAGTGACATTGTACTTGACATTAACAGTCTCTGATGAAAATGACCTTGTCATACAATAGTCTAACTTAAGCAATCATTTGTTTGTGTTGTATCAGTTATGTCATTTTCTAAAGACACATGTATATTTATTGTCGAGACTTATTTTGTGTGAGAGGAGTTTACATTGAAGTTTTCTCGGTTTACAGTTCTCAACAAATTGATATTATTTTATTTGATTGATAAATTTCATGCCCGAGTCTGTATATGATTGAAAGATTCCAGGCTTGCTGTAATGTCATTTTTAATCTATCAACTCAAAACCCCAGATAATAGTTTGTGTGTTACATAAACAAAGGGTTTGAAAGTGCCAGGCCTGGACTTTGCATGGGCAATAAAATAATGGAAAATGGTTATTAATGCCAAAACCCAAAATAATTACTATATATAATGCAAAAATAAATCTATTTATTAGTAAAAGCCCGAATATGTACAATCAAGAAATAATGTTAGAGAATAACTTGCAAATAAAGATAATTTATCAAAAACCAAACAAATACAGTGGTACCTCGTATAATGGATGCTGTGAACAATGGACTTTCTGTTTGGCCGTTATGTGACTCGAGCAATGGACTGGCTGCGAACAACAGACTTTCCATTTGTCAGTTACGTGAGACGCACAACGGACTTTCTGTGAACAAGTACGAATGATATTTCCACTCTTTTGCCATTGCCAATGGCAATCTGCTATTTTTATAATATATTAGTATTATTAGAATATATTATTAGTATATCTTATACAGAGCTCCCGTTGGAATTCAGCTTGCTCCCTTGTTTATTACGTACATCGCCTCAGTGCAGGGTATTTACATTTATTCAAGTGTTGTGCAAATCGTGGCTTCTAAAAAAGCAGAAAGGTGATTTCAATTGAACCAAAGCAAGAAATCATCAGAAGGAGTGAAAGTTGACAAAATCTTCCTTGTCAAATGGGGAGAGGTTTAACAGTTTGCCAACATTCATTATCCAAACAGAGCTGAGGCCAACAGGATCAATGATCTTTACAATGACACCCTTGCCCATCATTTCCAACAGGTGTTGAAGAAGAGAGAGAAACAGACCACCTTGGACATGTTTTCCAAGAAGCCAGCTGCCAAAACATAGGATGACCCTGCAAGCTCCAGTAGCTTCTCCTGAATCTGACTCCGATTAAAAAAACAATAAAAAGAGACCTGCTGCAATGTGTGAAAAGTGTCTGTCTGTATGAATGTGTGAAGAAAGTGTTCCTCCATTTCCTCCTCACAACATCTGACTACCCGGCATAATTGGTGACTGCTCCATTTTCATTTTTTTTATGGTACAGTACGGTTATTTTATGCTTCGGAACAAATTATATGTTTTAACATGTATTTCTATTGGAAAATGCATTTCGTATAATGGACTTTTCACTTAACAGACGTGCAACTGGAACAGATTTAAGCTACAACCATCTCCACAAAAACCAACATGCAAAATATGTAAAAAAATATATATATATAAAACGCAATGAATCTTACTAATTTGTCTGTCACCAAAAAAACATTACTGGAACTGGAAAGCATTTGTCAATCTCATTCAATCCTTAGCATCATCTTGTTCAGTTCTTCAATTCATCTTTCTTAGTGTGGTTGGTGTGATGTTTACAAGCATATGCTCACTTGACCCTATTTACATAATACTTGTTAACACCTTAATTCTAGTAATCGGTCTTATTAATTCATGTCATCTCCTTTACAAGTAGTTTTATAATTTTTTATTGCATTTCCAATGACAATTTGGAGTGGGAGATCATTTTTTTTTATTTCCTGTGGAAGTCTCTCCTGAGATGTCATTTTTGGGTTGATGACGTCAAAAGTTGCTGCCAGCAGTCATTGTAGTAAGGTGAGTCAATTTGAATTTTGCCTCGGTAAGGTGCAGCAGTCTATCCTTAATGAAATAAAATGCCCCAAAATGAATAGAATAACAAATTAAAGATAATCCCCAAACAAAAATAGAATAGGTTGGAATTGACTCCTTACCAGCCATCACTGTTAACTGCCAACTTGAAGATGGGAATCTGTGTTTAGTGTGCTCATCCAGAAAATCTGCAAGAAAGTTATCATCTCAGGTTGGACTCACCAGATGTGAGGAGTTGTCTTTTTTGAAACATCCTGTACAGATTTTCTCAGTATGATGGTAGCTTTTTGCAGATAATAAATGAAGAAGCAAAAATGAGAATAAGTGTTTAAAAAACTTTGCTATATAGTATATAAGTTTTTATAATTATACAGTTTGTTTTACTTTTAAAAAACAATTGTCAAATTAATTTTAGTTTAAATTTTTTTTTCTTTAACATTGGTGTGAAGATAATACTAAATAGTATAAAAATTCTTTTAAATCATGTTTTTGTAGAGTTTTTTTTAACATGGTGTTATAAAAGATTTACTAAATATGGGTTGCCAATTTATTAAAAAATTACAGTACAGATTAGTTTAAAATATTTTTTTTAAGTTAGAAATTATCATAAGTTTTTAATTAAACTTGATGTTGGTATTGATGATTATTGCATTTTTAAATCATGACTTAAAAAATCATAGGTACACAAACACACATTTATAAAATTGGGCTTATTGACTATTTAAAATTAATAATTATTATGAAACTTGAATTTTCATTTTAAAATATTTGTTAAAATAGACTATATTTCAAATTAATAGATAATTAAAATGTTTTCTTATTTACAGAAAATATCAACGGGATCCCAGAATTTTGGTTAACAATTTTTAAAAATGTAGAAATGTTAGCTGAAATGATTCAAGTGAGTCAATAAATTGTTTTACTGTTGAATTTTTAATTTAATTTATAATGAGCAATTATTTATTGTGACATTGTCACAATTCCAGGTTTCAATTTTAAACATATTTTCAATTTAATTTAAAACACATGGTCTCCACCTTAAATTAGTAGTGGCTTGACCCTGTACATACACTTACTTTAAGAATAGAGTCATGCCAGTCATCTATATAATACCTTTTGGGGGAAAATTTTTGATTTGAAATAACATGATTTCGGTTTGCATTGGAAGTTTATATGTAGTTAATTGGGGCCTCCTAAGATTTCCATATCTGGTCTTGTCCTTCATCTGTAACTCCATTCTTGAGATTAGGGAAAGACAGCTAGACAGATGACAGTGAGAAGTTATAGGTCTACAATTTTCTCAAATTGCATCCCAAAAAATTTTGTCATCATTAATAAATATTAAAATTGTTGGATAACTTGTACTTATTTTATGGCTGTAAAGAAAATGTAAAGCCTGGTGCAAACTAGTTGATGCTATCACTTTTGATGTGACATCAGATAAAATTTATGTAGTCATATGATGACTATTTTTCTATAATCTCTCATACTATGACTCTTAATATTACTTATGTAGTTCTAAATAACCAATGAACATTTTTTCTTTTACCTCTCCACAAAACTATTACTTAGAATTTTGTTTATGGAATGAAAATATGTGATATATATACACACACAAAGTAAGACCCCGCTTAATGCTGATTCGATGTAACGGGGCTGCTCAAAACGTAAAAGAAGCTAAAAATTTATGCTGATTTAAATTATCGCGGCATTTCATTAATTCATATCTAATAAGATTATTTACAAACATGAACCAATCAGAAAAAGGTGGCAAAAACGTGTATATTCTTTAAATCTATGTTTGTTTGGTGCAATTTTGGAAAAAATATAACATCATGGATGCCACAGTCAGTATTGGCTTTGCTTGGCAAGAATTAACTGATAAATGCACGAACAAAGTGTGGAAGAAGTTATGGCTGAACGCATCCAAGAATTCTCAACGAGAAGAGTCTATCGCTGTATCGTTAGGTTGACCAAATTGTCAACCTAATTGATACAGCAAGACTAGGAGATGTAGACGAGCAGGATATTGAGGAGTTACCGCAGGTTTCTGGTGCAAGTCTTACCAACAACGACCTTCAAGAACTGACAGAACAAGAAATTCATTTAGAACTGGAAAGTAGAGATTCTGAAAACGAAGAACCCAAAAAATTTCTCTACGGATTTTCTTAGTAAAAGTTTGGTAACAATAACCAAAATTGTTAATCAAATTGTAGCGAATGATCCAGATTTTGAAAGGAGTGCAAAAGCAAAACGAGGCTTTTTGGATGCGATCTTCTGCTACCGACATTTGCTTAAGGAAAGAAAAAAGCGACAAATGAAAGTTTACGACTTTTTGCAAAAGAACAAGAATTTCAGAAAAGTTAGGACCTTCATCACAAAAAATAAACTGTACATTTCTTTATAGGTTCTGATATTATCTACTTATTTCTAAGACTTAGTTAGTCCTCTAGGCCTAGCAAAAATAGTGCCAGCAGCTGTGTGCGCATATGTTTGTNTACAAATTAATATAAAAAATAACTAAAATTAAAGTAAAATTTGTTTATTTTTGGTTCGAGTGTTTCGCTATCTCTATTTACTCTGTTAAAATGACATAATTTAATGCTGTTTTGTTTAGCACTTTGCCATCTAAGAATGCATCCCGTGTTAAGTGGGGTCTTACTGTATATATAATAGTTGCAATAATTTAATGAAATAATTTTGCTGGTGATTGAATAGTTAGGTTTTTTTTTGAATTCGAAAAAATTAAATAAAATTAAAGTATATTTTTTTATCATAAAAAATTACTCTTACAAAATAGGTTTGTTTTTTATGTAATTGTAAAATTTTACAAATAGTTTTTGAAATAAATTTAATGGTTTTCTATTTTTGACTTAGATCATTTTTATAATTAATGGCACAATTATGGTTATCTTGTATGTGTGATAGTCAAAAACTTAAAATTAAAACTTAAAAAATTTTAGTTCGACTTAAAATTACAGCTTGTAGATGAAATAAATGGCGCAAATATTTCACTGCCCGTGAGCATCTCAATTGTCAGATGAAAAATCCAAAATGTTTGAGAGTTTTTGAAGGAACCACCTACTTTTCATTGAATTGTATGACCTAGAGCAGGTTTGTTCAACCTTTTTTCCTAACAGGCCAAATTAGAAATTTAAGTATATTCAATGGGCCACAAAGGTATTTTATATAAATATATGGTTTTAAAAAGTTCAAAATGTGAATATCAAATTTTAATAACAAATACAGTATTTTTTGTAATAATA